TTTCTTCTGTCTGCCTAATCTGTGTTAAATATCCGACAAAGAATATTTATCATTATTTATTAACATTTAGTAAATGAAAGAGATTCCTATTTAAATTCTACTACTAAAAGTACGCAGCTTGATGTATAATAACATCTGGAAATGTGAGGATACTTTGGACAATAGTTTTCCTCTAAAACTCTTATGGACGACAAATTACAAGTTATTAAACCATGCTCTTTCATAGGAGATAAGTTTGACAATAAAATAAATTGATATTGGGAGTAAATTTTGTGAATTATAGAAATTGCAGAAACTGTTTCTACAAGCAATACAGAATCGCATTTCTAACTTGTTGAATTCACTAAAATTGTTCTGAACTTTGATTACTTGGCAGACGTCATTTTTCATCACAATATTGCAACATTTACTTGCTTTGAAATTACCTGATTCAACATCAGTTTTGAAATCCAATTTTATTATTACGTTACTATAATACTATAATACTATAATACTATAATATACTATATATTATAATATTATACAGACGTTTGCAGTAATTGTGAAAAGTAAGTTTGCAAAGTCTTGTATCATCAAATTGCAAAGTTGATCAGAAACATGTAAACATTGATTCTTTCAAGTGCATCAAAGAATAATAATGATTAATATGTACAACACATTTTTCACAGATTTAGTTTAATTTTGCTTCCTTTCTTCTACTTGGAAGTTTCAAAGACTCTTATAATTGACCACCTACTTAATTTTTCATTAGGCAAATGTTTTCTTACTTGGTACCACCATGTCAAAGTAGTTTTAGTATCGAGTATAAGTTGCAATATGGAAGAATTTCTTTTGCAATTGCCCTCAATTGTATAATCAATAATAGAGAAATCCGAAATCATGAAATATACACAACTACAAGTATATAATACATAAATAAAAATAATAATAATACTTTGTCCAATGTTGTATTAATTAAATTCAGAATGAATTCACAAACTAGTGATATTTTTATAGTCCCCCCAAATATTTTTTGCAATGTTCATACTTTCTCATGTTCTTTCTATTTTTGTTTATCGATTTAACTTAAGGCTCCTCAGGAATGTACATTTTCCCTCATATACATATAAAGATATGTACATACATATGTTCTATTTTCCTTTCTTGCGTCTGTCTCTCTCTCTCTCTCTTTCTCTGTATTTCTGTAACTTGGACTCTATGTTCCTGAAACTCTTTTCAAAAATTCCCCAGGGATTCGCTAGAGGCGAAGTCGAATATGCACCTTTCCCAATATACATTTGCATTTTCTCCTTCTCTACCCTCTGTCTCTGTCTATCTTTTACACTTACAATCCCAGGCAAACTCCGCGAACTTCCTTCGTAGGAAACATTCACGTCATTTTCAAAACTTTCCCGGCACAACCTCAACTACTTGGTCGAAAACATTATTCGGTCGTATCTCTATCCCTCTAGATTAAACGCTCTTTCCTTCGCAGACAAATATATCCCCTTTCCCTGCGTCTCGATTATTCGAAACCAGTCGATTATTCACTGCCTTTCTGTCGAGGAACAATCAAAGAAAGGAAAATGTTCGTTCATTGTCTCGAAACGTTTAAAGGAATTTAACGATGACAAGGAACAGGTTTCATTGATTCCTCATCACTCTGAATGTTAACATTTATTTATTAATTAAACGCCATTGTTATGAAGTTACTTGTACCATCTATAATCGCCACGTCTATAATTCGTATTTCAGAAAATACAATTTAAGAAATATAATTCATTCACGCGCTATACGCTAGAAAATTGGATATTTTATGTGATTTCGTTTCAAAATTTAGAATGTTCTCTGAATGAATAGAAATCTGTCATTCCACGGCAGAAAATCGAGCAAACTGTCAAAGACAATATTATGAAATTAATTGAAAAATTCGCGACGAAAGATGAAGAGAAATTTTAAACGCTACTCCTTTCAATAGCTTTTTACTACTTCGAATATTCTTTCTCGTTTTCTACGGTAATGAATTGTTGGGAATATTTCTCTACGATATTTAGTTTTTCGTTTAACTCGAAAGTTACAATAAACGTTAATGAATGAAACTGGTTATATATATTATAGTTAAGATTCTTTTCTATTTTTCATAGATGAAGAGAAATTTGTTTTCGATATCCAATATTTCCAATGTATCTAATCAATTTTGCACGTTTCTTACACATCAACTATGTTTCTTTACGCACAATTAATCGTGCTTTGCACGCTCATATATACTCGTCAGCTCGACGGGCTGTTTTAAGCACTATGAAAGCGTACATCCAACCAACGTGAACATCGTGATAGACTAAAAACGTAGATAGTCTGATGCAACATCGTCACTATAAATCTTGAATTTCTTTGGAAAGGAACGAATACGCTTCATCTGTGTTTCACCTGATTTCACATACAGAAGAACTCCATTAATCTTGGAACATTGTTGCAACTACTCTGCCACGTAGCCATGATAAATAACAGAATATACAGGGTGTTTCCAGATATAAGTAGAAAATATATTTCAAGGCGCTAAAATTAAAAAAAAAAAAGAAAAGAAGAAAAACATTTCAAAAAGTTGAGCTACAGGTTGCCAAATCGGTTCAAGCCGTCAACTGCAAATTGTTGCACGTTTAAATATATCAACAGCGTGACAAGACAATCGAATCGTAATGTAAAAATTACGTTTCAAATTTCACAGAGAATCGCACGTTTGCATTAAAAAAAAGAAAAAGTCCTTTAGAAATCCGCCATCAACGAAACTTCCCATCCAGAGTTGACGACGATATCGTAACACGTACACGTGCAACACAGTCCTCGAAACGTTGGTCACAAGCTCTCGCACGTTTAAATATATCAACAGCGTGACAAGACAATCGAATCGTAATGTAAAAATTACGTTTCAAATTTCACAGAGAATCGCACGTTTGCATTAAAAAAAAGAAAAAGTCCTTTAGAAATCCGCCATCAACGAAACTTCCCATCCAGAGTTGACGACGATATCGTAACACGTACACGTGCAACACAGTCCTCGAAACGTTGGTCACAAGCTCTTGCACGTTTAAGCATCCATTAACGAGCACGCGAGGTTTCAAACGAGACGCCTAATAAAATAAATTTGACGAAGCTCACAGGTGGTACCTGGGAGTTGGGCGAGGTGCTCTGCGACTCGTGGGTCTCCCTCGATGTTCTTCTCTGTACTGCCAGCATCCTGTCGTTGTGCGCCATATCCATAGACAGGTGAGTCCACATCCCCGAATTCACGTCACGTAAATGGAACGAGATTGCCGCGCGAATAGCGAGAATAGAGTGTCGAAAACGCCAGTTACATGTGAATCCCGGAAATACAAGTTTCCCGTTTAAGAGGAGAGAGCTTTCCGGCCACCTTGCCTCGTAAAAAAAGTTTGCTGCTCTGCGTGATTTGAAATTTTCTGCAACCGAGAGAGAGAGAGAGAGAGGACACGATTCGGGAGGAAATTAACCGGCCGATCACGTGCGCCCAACGATTTGTATCGATCGGTGCTTAAACTCATTGAAATGTAGCTGCGTCGCGTCGTTGGAAATTAGAAGTTCAACCAGCATGCCGGCACTTGCGATGTGCAAACAAGCAATGAATGTTAAAACATTCGATGTGATTTGCTCGCTCTGTCGGATTGAAGATTAGAAATAATCGAAGAACGTGAGATGTTTGATGAATAGTGTTGGAACAAACTTATGTATGAAAAATATCGTCGTCTTTCTCTTCTGTTGAATTATATAAATTATAATCTTCAATAAATTAAGTTCATTTTCAATTTTACGTATCATTGGCATTTAACTTGAAATTCGATATATAGTTTGCGTACAAACGTTGAAGTAAAATACTTTTTTAGTTGTTTGATTAAGCCTGTATCCTTTGCACATTCATCAGAATTGGAGCCGTAACTAACCCTTGATCAAATCAATGCATAAAGTTCGAAATTCAATTACTCTCAATTTTAGTAGCACTTTTTCTCGAAGCTTCCCATATAGAAATATAGCGATAGTCTTCTATCACTGTAATTCTGTTTTGAAAAATCAGAGAAGCACAACTTCAAATTCCTTGATTCACATTAGAATTATGAAAGAACTATTTTTATTTCGGAAAAAAATAGAGAGAGAAAGAGAGAAGAAAGGAAAACGTTAGTTTATCTGGTCTCGCGTGTTTCTCAAATACATTTAATTTTCGTTGAAGGTACCTAGCCGTCACTCAACCGTTGATATACAGCCGACGACGACGAAGCAAGAGACTAGCTGGATTGATGATTGTCGCTGTGTGGGTGTTAGCTGGCGCTATCACCAGTCCACCCTTGCTCGGATGCTTCCCACGTGCAACGAATCGTGACACTAAAAAATGCTCGTACAACATGGACTCTTCATACGTGATATTTTCCGCGATGGGTTCGTTTTTCCTGCCAATGTTAGTAATGCTTTACGTGTATGGCAGGATATCCTGCGTGATTGCCAGCAGGCACAGAAACCTCGAAGCCACAGAGAGCGAAAACATTCGACCTCGGCGCAACGTTTTGGTAAGCATTCTTTCTGCAAAATTTCCTCAGATATGATTTCTCCCTTCCTTTTTTTTTTTCTTTCTTTCTTTCTTTTCTTGATTTCTTTGAAAAAATGTAGAAATTCCCCGAAAGTAAAAAAAAGTTCGC